CATTGCAGTCAATAGACTTTGCCCCAAGTGTGGATATTATAGGGAAAAAAAAGGAAGGATTCTGTCAGGCTCAGTATGTTGATAATGATCAAGGAAGATGTTTTTCAGCCCCAGTGAACTGCCTGAAATCTCCCCTAGGGTTGATATTCTGTTACCCTTTATGCACCCTTTATGGCAGTTTTCCAGACACATGGTATTTTTGACACACAGTCATAGTTTGCAATTATGTTACCCATGCCATATGACTGGTTAAGCATCTACAGGGCTATTTTGTTTGCCCAGTCGGATATGCTTGGGTGAGGCTATGTATATGAGTGTAAGTTCTGGAAACAAAACAGAGGACTGTCCCATGATTTAGATCACCTTGAAAGCATGAGACCTCATTTCTAAGCTTCTTTCATTTACAGGTGGTATAACATGCATCTCTCTGGCTTCGCAGCACAGCGCTCTAACCACTGCACCTCAGTTTAGATTTTCTCCACAGCCTTCCTCAGTGCTCCTTTTGAAACTGAGCATAATAGGTAACTGGATAAAATGGGTGGAGAGTAGTAGGGGAGTTTCTGCCCCACTGGAAGAATGGGTCTGGAGTATAATGCTGAGTTTACTTCCTTCTAGGGCAGCAGCCATCTCACCAAGCCACACACCTCCTAGCATGTTCTTTCTCCTGCCTGACATAGAGTTTGCTCTTGCTTGCCAAGGCAGCCAGCTTCAAAAGGCCTCTTGAGAGAGGTCTGGATGATGTTTGATCTGTATTGTGGTGGTTAGAGCACTGTGCTAGTAAGTCAGAGGCATACAGGATCAAATTCCCCCGTGTGAGTGGGGCGTAGAAGCTGAGATAAGAGCCTTGACCAAAGCAGAATGTTGTGGCTTATATACACCCAGCAAATGCACATATGTAACTGTACCTGCCCAGCCAGTGCTTGGCCTGCTGATCATCCACAGTAGGAATGTGTATATGTATGTGTCCACACAACACAGATAATAAACTGCAAACTGGTATAAATACAAACGTGTCACTTATTTCAACTGGAAAACTGCCTTCTAGGGGTACAAGGAATAATGGGATTTGGGCCTTGTCAGGTCAGCTACAGCCTAGCATTTTTATCATCTGATCATTGTTTAGTGACTTCTCTAAATTAAACTCATAGGTCCTAGTTCAGATGCTAGTCAAGAAAGGTTGATACCACAAAAGCTCAGTGGTATAAATGGCTTCTGTATCAGCAGTCACAGCAGGGGAGGGGTTAAAGTGCCGGATAGAGGAAAGTGTATCCACGATCACATAAGGCCAGGTGCAGAAAAGGACTTGAGCTGCACTGTAAATGGAATTTAAGCACTGAATGCAAGTGAGCGATCCACAAACCCTGCTTAACCATGTAGGCACCAAAGTCTGTTTTCTGGTAAAAATTTACTTTGGTGCTGTTTTGGCATTAGCCTATTTTTTAGGGTAAGCAGATTACTATGGCTGCCCTCTGTGCTCACTTCTTAACTACCCAGTAAAATATTAAGCAGATTAGATTCATTCTCTCAATTAAATTGTTAATTCACTCTTGCTTAGTGATAATGATTGCAGCAAGAAACAAAATGAAGAATGAGAAAATCAAAACGTACCAGCAGTCAATTTGTCTTTTTTCTTAAAGCTGGGGGCTGGCATTTTTTTAGTCAATTCTCCTTCTCTTGCATGTATATGAGTTATGGCTGGCAACTTTCTGATCAATACTCTGAAGTTGGCCTTTTCAATTAAAATTAAACCAACACTGTCTTCCATGATCGTCTTATCTGTGGGTCTGAAGATGGCTGATGAGGCTGACTTGGGATCAATAAACTCTGCTGCAACTCGGGCACGTTTCCTTGCAGGGTGGCTGGCTCCGGATTCTTGGTTCAGTCTGCAATATGCTGTTTCTGCTGTTCCTGTTTGTCCATCTCCTGTTGTCTTCATAAAGTTTCAAAGTTCTGCAATCCTTGTAGCAGACTTTTCCACCATTTGGGATAGTCCTGGGTGATAATCTCCCACAAGTTGATGTCAGTGTTGTACCATACAGGAGATGTCTCCTGTATGTTGTCAGCAACCAAGACTGAGCCACCAGAACATGCAAATATATGTTTGTTAAATACATTTTTAAAACTGTCATTCTCCCCTTTTGATATATAGTCTAGCAAGGTTTGTGGATTTGGGATTGTGGCTTTCACTCCTGAAGACAACTGCCTAAATCCCTTTGTGGATCAGATCCTTAATCCCTTTGTATCAATTTCCTATCTGTAAAATGGAGGCAATAGTACAGGCAGTCCTCAGATTTATGACACAATTGGTTCCTGAAAACCATTCCTGAAAACCGTGTCTTACGTCTAACTCGGAACCAATTGTCCCATAGGAAACAATGTTATAAATGGGGGGTTGATTCCTGAAGCAAGGCCTGATACCCTATTTTCACTCAGAATAACCCAGAATTTTGTACAGTACTCAATTATATAAAATAAATAAATGTAGCTATAGTACTTGTCTATATGTATTTATGTATTTGCATTGTAAATATACCAAATCTGGGGGTCACACGTCCCTCTCCCACCTCCCCTATGCTCTCCTGGACAAGTGGCAGGAGCCGCTGGACAGGCTGCAGCTTCTCCTGTGGCTGCCCAGCTCAGCCCCGGCACTACCTGCCCCAGCCCAGGGCGAGCAGCCAGGGGATCAGCCGGATGAGCTGTGGCTTCTCCTGCAGCCGCCCAGCACAGCCTTGGAACTGCCTGCCTCGTCCCAGTGGGGGCAGCCAGGGGAGCAGCCAGATGAGCTGCGACTTGAGCTGTGGCTTCTCCCGTGGTCATCCAGTGCAGCCCTGGCACTGTCTGCTTTGCCTTGGCAGGAGCAGCCGGGGGAGCAGCCAGACAAGCTGTGGCTTCTCCTGCCACCCATAGCCCCCGCTTCCAGAGCCTGGCGCAGCCCCAGCTGGGCAGCGTTTGTCCCACCCCCTATTCCAGCCCCAGCCTCCCCCTCCCGCAGGGGCCCTGATCTGCCCCGCCATGGCCCTTTCCTTCCCCCTCCCCTTCCACTGACAGGCCTGTATCCAGCATACATGGGTAAAGTTGAAACCCATGTCGGAACTTCAAAACCCAGGTGTCAATTTATAAATGTTGTGACTGCGGTTCATCATAACTTGAACCGTCGTAAGTCGAGGACTGCCTGTACAGTGATTCTGTGTCAGGGTGCTATGCCACTCTGGGGTGTCATGAGTTTCTCTTAAGAGTGGTGCACAATATTAGTACTGTTAAGTGTGCAAAAAAAATCTTCCTTGCCATGCATTTCCATTTGCACAGCCCTGCAGTTTGTATATTGGTTTGAGCTTTTATTTGATCCAAGAGAGTACACAAACACCAGCAGACTCTCCCTATGCCTGAAGAAGGTTGTTTGTGCCTGAAAGCTTGTAAAGAACAATTTCTCCAGCTATTTAGTTGGTCTAATAAAAGATATCACATTTTTACCCAAAGAACCTTGTTTGCTTATGTCCTTAGACCAACATGGCTATAACCAACACCCCCATGTGAGTCACAAGATAAAGCCAGAAATTTCAAATAGGAATCCATTGTGTCAAAAACCATTCTGACCCATTGTGGTCCTTCTGAGTACTTTGGAACAGAAGAATTGCTGTATTGCTTTTTTGTAGTCAAAAAGTGAGTGACAGTTAAAAGCTGGCATTTTCAAGAGAGGTACCTTGAGTCTAACAAGGGGTGCTTTTAGTCTAATGAGAGGGTTCTTGAGTCTAAAAAAGGTTGAGAACTGCTGCAATAGCACTTCCCAACTTCCCAGGGGTGAAAGCATGAATGGCACATGCCCCTGGCAGCTGGGGAGGTCCTGCAGACGCTGCTGGCGCTGTTGGTGGTTGGGGGTGTGGGACACGATTCCCGGATAGTCCTTGGGAAGCGGCCGCAGTTGCGTGTCAAACGGGGCACCGGGTGGTGACACCAACCCAGACACGCTCGGGGATGCCAAATGTGAGGGGAAGATAAACACCACAGACAATGAGGTGTGAAATAAAGTTTGATATTTACTTACAAGACTGACGAACAGTAGGTTGAAACAACTTGGTGATGGCGAACTATATACAGCAGCGAGGAAATATATACAAGCGGTGGGTAGCGGGGGAAGACTGCAGCATACAAGTGCAATGTCTGGTTGAGACAAGACACAGGGCGTCCCAGGTATGCGAGGCAGTAAGCTTATGATGCTCGGAGCGACCGGAGCAGCTTCTGCTATAGACCTAGGGGTCTGACCAGGCCCCAAGACGGGTGATCAATCCGTCCTGAGAGTCGGAGCCTGGGGACCCCGCACTAAGGCGTGCGGTCCCTATATAACTTTTTCGGCCAATCAGGAAGCTCCCCTGATGGTACATTCTGGAACCCATGGACATGCTGGCCAGCCAGCCATGCCCATTAGGTGGTCTTTGATTGGCTAGACCACAGGTGATCACGTCCTGAACACGCATCGCTCGCATGTTGGGTCAAATTGCTGATACACTCTGCCACCGCATCACTATTTACAATGGTTGCATCACTTAACACTTCGATACAATAATCTGGCAGGGTCACTTTGCTTGTTGACGGGGGGGGCAGCGAGTGCCGACCAGGTCGGCGACCACCCGCAGGCGATCATGGACTGCCCACAGACACCACCAGCAGTACCAGCGTTGGAGCGGCGAGCGGCAACCTTTTTGCAGGGGGTGTACACCCTGCATGTCGCCCCTGGATGAAAGCAAGTTAATCAGGCCATAGACTTAACTAGCTAAATTGTACTTGTCTAGCATGCAACACCACTAGAGAAGAGCCCTTTCAGCGGTAGGGGCTGGGCTCCATATATCTGTGCAGAAACTTGCACTGTTGCTGCTTAGCTTCTATACAGAATCAGGAGCAATAGAAGACACCTGTGCTAGGTCTGGCAAGTCAGGCCGTCTCCCCTTCACTAGATATTATAAAACTGAAGACAAGAAAACCATAGAAAATCACCAAACATCAAGTGTCAAACAGATGTGCTTCTTTTATTGAAATAGTTACACCCACAGCTTGGGAAAAGAAGGTGAACAGCTCTTTAAGGAGCATGTGTGAGGGGAATGATGGCAAGTGGTTTGTATTACAATATATACACCTTGCATCACACAAAGGCCATCAAGGTGAGCCAGGGATAAAAGGAACCATAGCTTGTGACATAAAAGTCATAGGTACCAAATCAAGCTCTGTACACCTTGAAAAATGGGCTATTACTCTCCCTTGTTCTCTGACAACATGGAGTTTATTAACCACAGTCAAAGAGTGCTGAGCCAGTTGCTTTCTGCTGATTGCAAGGGGGTGTTGAGTAGACTAGTCAAGGTGACATGTACTCATTGGACATTTCTTCTTCATCTGCATTAGGGTCCAACCCTGTGAGGTGCTGAGCAGGTCCAGCAATAGGAATCAATGACTCTCAGCAGCTTGCAGGATCCAGCAGCACGATGAGGGATTAGGCCCTACAGCAGTGAATAGGGATGTACAAATTCCTTGGGCTTTCATTTTCTTTTCTCTTGCTCTCTCCACCTTGTCAAACCCACTTTATTTTTATTTCTAGCAGTGGAAGTGTAGTGTTGGTGGGGGTGACCAATTTGGAAAACTCCTGAGTAACATCCATTCAAACTCCCCAAACCTTTTTAAGCTTTGAGACTTTTCTCTTCTATAAAACCCTCATTTTCCTCATTGCCATTGAACTCATCTGACTACCTCATCTTTGAAGATGGGGCTGCAGCATCCTTAACCTCTAACCACTTTCCAAAAGGCTAAGGACCTTGGAAGAGCCTTGTTGAACATAGTGATTTGGATGCTCTGCCTGTATTTAATTTCCTGGTGAAACACTAGCAAACTAGTTACCAAAAATGTTTCTGAAACTCCTGCCAGTTGTCCTTATCCTGATACCCAGGCCTATTGCTTTCAGTCTGAACGCTGGTGTTTGTGTTTCATTAAGGGGGACTTATCTGTCCTCAAAGGCAGCAGTAAGTGCTATCTAATAGCTCGCTCTTTCCTGACCTTCACCTCATCTAGCACTTGGAGTAGTGGGCCATTCTCTGGCCAGAAAGGACCTAACTTCAGCATCCACTCAGCAACACATCTTAACTACTTTCACAACCCTTTAACTACCATGCCAAAATCAAACCATATGTAACTCCTCATAAAAGTCATTAGGGATTTAATGAGGATCCCTATGCACATTGCATCTTTTACTACCTTGTTAAAAAATGAGTTATGAATTTTTACCGACAATTAGGAGCCCTCAGGAAAGAATTGTATCCTGTACTAGGATTGTGTAGGACCAACTATTCCCAAAAGGTAACAAAGGAGCAGGGCTCCTCAGTGGTGGTGAAGTGTCATAGCTCTCTTGAGGTGGTGGAGCTCTTTCCCAAATATTTGATGGGAAGAGGCGGGAGAGAAGAAAATGAATGCACTATAACAGATTGGAAGCCACAGGTCTTAAAAGCATGCTTCTCACTCAACCCATGAGGAATTGTGGGTGCTTTGCTCCCAGAATGCACTATTCAGGTGCCCTTGAAACCCACCTCAATCAGCAGCAGCAACAAAATCCTTCAATTTTGATGAGCCAAACCACAGAGCCAGAGGAAGTTGGAGAAGGAAAAATCAGCTAACTCTTAATTCAGGGGGAAGCTCCTTGCTCTGGATTCCCATGAATGTCGATAAGAAAAAGATAACATAGTGGAGCTCACTACAAGCTAAAATAAATGCAGGCTGACACAACACTTTGCTCCATATTCCCGGGTTCTTTTGTAAACTGTAAGAAAACCCACGGAACGTGCTTTGGGGTTAGGGGGAGGGTGTTTTAATTAGAGTGGCTCTTGGGAGCCACTCTAATTAAAAAGCCCACAATGTCTTGTGTATTCAGCGTCCCGCATTTCAAAATGGTGGTGGAAGCACTTAAACTAAAACTCATTTGATGAGCTCGTTCGATGAGACGCTGCAGGACACTGAAGTGTTCTGATTAAAACGATCCATCTGCTCCGATGCAGTTTAATCAGCATGAACTGGAACATGTGTAAAAGTGCTGTATGAGTTTGCAGGTTTGCCGGCCAAACCCCTTCACATTCCCGTGTGCACCTGCAATTCTAGGCAAAACAACAAGGAGAGCCTGAAATTTTGAGGGAAATTCTTTGTACAGGTTTGCTAATTTAAAACTGGGGGAGGATTTAGGCTGTACTTAGCCTACTCCACACCTGTCAGTTAAGTTCCTTCTGTAGAAAAGATAGCAAAGAATAAAAAAAAAAAAAAAGAGAGAACGACAACAACAGCAACCAAACCCAAACTCCGACATGAATTGCACATCTCATCACTTTACACTTATTGACCCATGCAGCCTGTTGGATTCTTCACCCCTCGGTCATGCCTCTATACAACAAGCTCCACAGCACACTGGAGAGAGTCAGCAGTCACAGCTCCCACTCATATGTTTCCTACACAAACGTCTCTTCTGCGAATGCCACTGCATCACACTCCTCTGGGGATGCAACTGTGTGGGGCTGGCTCCTCAGCCACTCCACCCTGCTCCGGATGAGCTCATTTTCCACAGCTTCTGCCTCTGCCGCGTGGCAGGCCTTGACCTCGTCGTGCTTGAAGTACTCCCTGACGGTGCTGCGGATGGAGGCAGGGAGGATGATGCGGATGGTGTGACTGAAGGTGTTGATGCTTTTGCCGTGGGTTTTGGCCTGTGGCTCTTGTTGTGCCTCTGCCAGCTCCCCTGGAGGGGAGCTGTTCTGGGGGACCTGTTTGCACTCTGCTTGCAGGGAGTGGTTGGTCCATTCATGATGGTATCGCCTGGAGACTGACTGCAGCACCAACGGGGTGTTCTGCCCGTAAAACACTGTCTGGGGGATCTGCACCCTAACTGTCGGTAGACTCCTGGAGGTGCTTTGCTCACCGCTGTTTGAGTTGCTGGTGCTGAGGTTCACAGCCAAACCCTTCTCTTCCTGCTCTACTGGAGACCCCCTTGGACTTTCTGTATTTGGGGCCATGTAAAAGGTTATCTTGGTACGCTTCAGGCTTTCCTGTCTGGACACCTCAGAGCCCTTTATCTCAATGTGCTTCACTGATTTCTCCCTGTGCACTTGCTGGCTGATTGCTGAGGAGCTTTCGCTGTCTTGGATGTGGGTGCCATGGCCTGCGTTGTGATTACACTCTTTGAAATAACCTTCACTTCTTGCGCGACAACCTTGTGCAGAGAGCCCTGTACTTCCCATCTCTCTTTCCTCCCCTTCACTGCCACTCTCATTTAGCAAGCTTCCCATGGCAACTCCACTGATGGGGGTAAAGCCCTTTACTTCCCCAGTGCTATGGCTGCACCCTATGTCCTTTTGCTCACACTCATTACAAGAGTCCAAACTGCAAGGGTTCAAGGGCAAAGGAGAGGTTAAGGGCTTGTGCCACTCTTTCTGGGACTGCTTTGCTGTCTTTGGAGATAAGGTGTAGAGTCTGGCAGAAGTGCCGAACATGAAAGGCAAGGAGGAGACATCTGTGGGGCTGAAGGCTGAAGACTCTGAGCAGTAGGAGAAAGCACTGTCTAAGGAACTTAATGAGGAGGCAGAGGGAGAAGTGGTGGTAGAGGACAGGCTGGAAAAGCTGGACCTATTGGACAGACTGTTTTTTTGAAAGCTCAACTTCTTTACCCTAGCTCCAGTCTGAGGTGAGCGCCAGAAATTCTGCCTGGTTTTAACCCTGGGACTCAGGCCTTCATCAATCAGCTTCTGGCTCTCTAGCTGCAGCTGCTTCAGCCTATGAATGTAGTCCGTGTGGCTGTGCATGATGGTGGCATCGCAGCTGGACTGGCGGGCTACTGGCTCGTGGCTCTGGGCAGGAAGTTGAGAGCTGACACAGACACTGGGCTCAGATGAGCACCGATCCCTTGCTGGGCTCAGTGAGCGTATTGAGCCCATGGAGCAGAAGGAGCCCTCCTCCTCCAGAAGGTCGTAGCTGTCTGCACTAGCATTTTTCCTGGTTTTGCTCTGGTAGCAGGCTGCGATCTCACTAAACAAGTCCCAGTCTTCCCGCTCTTCATCAAGTAACAAATCACCGGATGGATCAAACACAATGTCTGCTTCAGGAACTGGCTGGTGCTTTGGTCTTTCCTGATCACAGGCAGCAAACTCCATCTCATCGGATGAATCATCATGCTGGGCCATTCTAGTACCTGGGGAAGACACACAGGGAGAATGCAAACTCGTACTGTGCATTTCTATTGAAAACCACATAATAATCTACAAATATTTATAACTACAGTGGTTTCAATATCAGGTGCAGAGAGAAGTAGCCATTCGGGCTCTGTGAAATGGCACTGTTCTGTTTCTACTTCAGTTTTGAGGTTTGGACAGAACAGCATTTTGATCTGAATTTCATTTTGAGTCGAAAGAGCCTCACTGTTTCGCTTCCCCAGCCCGATCGCAGTGCTTGGGAGAGGAACTGAGCCTGGGCTTCCTGAGCTGTGATCAGCTTCCCGCAGCTCAGCAGCAGGAGATGGGGAGAGCCAGGGCTGTGCTCCTGGCTGCTGGTAGGAGCGCAGCCCTGGTTCTCCCCGTCTCCCACCACCTTGCTGCTGGCTGCTTCGAAACTCAAAACATTTTGAAGCTTTCGAAACATTTCAACTAGCCTCTTTTTGTTTCGAGACTGTTTCAAAGCCCTTTGTTTCAATTCGATTTCGCTGGTTCGAGCTTGAAAGGAGTCGAAACAGTGTCGAATTGAAACAGCTGGCAAAATTTCACACAGCCCTAGTAACCATCTCCTGGTTACACAGCAAGTCTATGGCAGACCTGGGAACAGACCCTCAGAACTCTGGCTCTAAGACTTATCATTATTAGACCAAAGTATGTGTGTATAGTAGAGGCACTTGGATCCCTTCTGATCTTCAAGGTCTAAGTTTAGAGACATTACTTGAACTGTTTCATTTTAAACAGGCTACTGTGGAACTGTGATTGGTATGAGTATTTTAGTGACAAGTCACATAGTTGCTGGTTATCCCTTTGAACTGGAAGGACTAGAATAGTTCAGAACAGTGGCAGAGGTAATGAGGATGAAGAAAGAGACAAGCATGGATATGTGCACAGCACTATGCTTATGCCCTTCAGTTTCCAGGCTGACATAGGCAGGGAGCAAAGGGAAAAGTGTAATGGAAAACCAATCCTTTTCTCCTTAGTGTCCCTTGGATAAAGGCATGGGAACTGTAGTTTTCCTTTCCAGAGGTTTTTGACCACTGTTATGAATTATGAGACACTTCTGGAGAGGTGCCACGAATATGCCATCCCACAGACTTACCTAGGGAGTCCTCTGAGCCTTTTGATTTCTCTTTGTCTGGTCTTTGAAACAACGATGCAATATCCCCTCCAAAAATTTCTGCTGAGTTTTCAATCAGAAATTGCACTAGCATAGCCACCTGCCAAACAAAGAAGTCACTTAGATCAGTTCAAAGAAAACATTTTCAGCTATACTGGGTGATTCAAAATTGCCCAGGGTGCCAAACTGGTGTGTTTGCCAACAGAAAAGTAACATATTTTAATAGAGAAGTTTCTTTTTTTGGCTCAAAAAGCAATGAAACACCACTGTAAACTGTAATGGTGGTGCATTACTGACAAGAAACTGGACTGGGTGGATGAACAGAAAGAGCAGATACAGATATGGCAAATTCTGTGATCCTAATTACTATTGCTATCATCTCAAAAGTAACTGGAAACACCCTGTCCCTACTGAGCTGCTTGTGATAATTAACTTTTTCCTCTCTGCAGAATGGTGCCACCCATTATTAGAAGCTTCTGCTAGAGTACCAGTGCCCTAATCCCAGCTGGATAGAAGTTTACTCCCAGCCACTCCCTGTAAAAGCAGGTCCAGAAAAGTCCACTTGTTACAGCAGATAATGGCTTCTCTCAGTGCCTCCATGCCTGGAGAAGCTCAGTGGCCACACCACTCCATATGAATTTGTACATGTGGCTAATCTTTTATATTCCTTTTTTAGGTTGAAGGGGAATGAAGTTTATAGGAGGTAGCACAAGGAAAGGAAAGTCGTCGGGGCAGAATCCCGCAAAGAGGATTTACCTTCTTTGTAGACCTGCTTTCCTCTTCGGGCCCAGTGGGACTGGGGAGCCACAGCATGTTGGGAGCTATGCAAAGAGCCAGGTTGAAGGCATTCATCTGATTCACTCCTGAATTCTGCTCAATGTGGTGCAGGACTCCAAAGAGGTATCGGAGTAAAAGGAGGTTGGCTTCTGGGAGCTGATTCACCAGGCTGCCAGGGAAAGAAAAAATGCAAAACAAATTGCTTATAAAACCTGGTCCTGGAAGCACCACTTGCTTTCTAAAGCCCCCTTTACAAACCAAAATACAACTGCATTTTTGCAACTAGTCTGTGACATGCTAGTTTGATCCAGCTGCAACAAATAGGGCTGAGTCACTCCCACCCTACAGCTATGTGGCAGTCCTGTCTGGACATCCACATCTGTCATAATGCCTAGCTACACTGGCACTAATGCCTTTTGGGAAAATGTTGACCGTAGTCCACTGCAACTCCCCTGCAGGGGCACTGGAGTGCCTGAAGGATACATATACAGAGCTGTGCCAGCAGTCCGTGGGATGATGCATTCTGCTATGCCCTACATTACAGAGATCTGCGGGGAAGGAATTTGTGGCTTAAAAAGCCTGGACTGAACCAGTAAGAGAAAGAGATTTGTCATATGGGACATGCCAGTGCTAATGGACAATCCCCATTCAGTGCACCCATCTGACAAAAATAAAGAAACTCCCCAGGTCCCAGTCACTGTGCCTGGCCAGGGTTTTTTCTTTCTGACGTCCATTGTGGCGATCATTTTAACTTTGCACATGTAAAGCAGCTAATTCCATTAATACCCCAGGACATGACTGGTGTCCAAATGACTGTATTTTCTTTCTGCAAATTCTGGTAATCAGAGCTGGTCATCAGAAAACTATTTTCTCATGAATTTTTTTGTTGAACATATCAACGTCTTTCATTTAAAAAAAATGTTTTGATGAAAATGTTCTGACCATCTACGCTGGCAACAGGCAAGGGCAGTGACATGGTCTAGAGCAATATTAGACGTTTCCTAGAATAGGGTAAGTATGCTGTGGGGCATATTCACATCCCCACCCCCAAGAGCCACTGTGAGCATTTACAAACCTTTTAATGACTTCTATCTTATGTGCTCGATTTTCTGTGTCCACAGCTTCCATCCATAACCCGTGCATGTCTGAGGATAGAACACTGTCAGGTATATTTCGTAGAAAATCCTGAATTAAATATATATATGCAGAGCAGTCTGGTCAGTTTTTAGTTTTTTTCATGGTGCATACGTTTTTATTTACAGTAAGCATAAGAAAAAATGAGACACAATACGAATACATGCCATCGAGGCCTCCCTGCTCCCCATAATGTGCAGCATTGAAAACAGACCTTGAACTTCTCTTTCAGTGAAACAAAGACCACCTAATCTACCCTCTGTGCTAGAAGCAGGATTGTTCTCCACAGTATGGTAAGGCTAAGGCTTCACATTCACCATGGCTTTGTCTAGACCAGTTTTAAATCTCCCAAATTCCTTTTTCCTTGGCATCCTGTATCACAGCTTAATATGCCTTTTTTTTTTCAAACAGTCTGAATCTCCTGCAACCAAGCATCGAACTGGAGAGATTCCACTCATGTAGGTCAAGCCTGCAAATGCAAGAACCAGGTGCTTTAATTTCAGGCGCCTGAATTTTTCTCACCTGGTTCCACATTAGTGCCCCACTAGGGTTTCCCTTTACTACAAGGTTAACTAGAGTGATAACTCATGTGTTGTCCCTAATTCAAGTCTTGTCCACACACAAAAACCTTTAACCCAAGTATGGTGGTCTTTTCACTCAAGTTGGCTGGTCAATCAGGTGCTGTTGGCTTACATTCAAGCCAGCATGCCTCATCAGCTGCTAACATGACCATTCTGGAGTCTGGCTGAAGAACTCAGTTGCCCCTGGCCCTCCAGTACTTCCCATAATTCCCCAGTGTGCTTGGAAAGCATAGATAAGTTCCCCTGGATTTCAGTGGGAGAGGAGTTCATCTCACCATAGCACCAATGGGACACAGCTCTGAATGGCTTGGGCCATACATGAGTGAGTGTAGCACCAGTGTGGAAAAAGCAATTAGAGAGGTACCATTCTCAGGGAACTCAGGTGTATGTAGCTTGGTTAACTCCATGATGAAGACACACTCTTAGTCTGTTGAACCCTTTGCTGCCTGAGACTCTGTTGTGCTTTTGCATTAAAAGGTACACCCCCCCTCCAATACTGGCATGAGAGCCAGTACTAATTTCTGCATCTTTGTGCCAGTAAAAGCAGCAGTTCTTAGTTCATGAAGGGGCAGACGTGCTGTCTTTCAGGAACCAACTTTCAAATGAGAGTGGGGTATGTCAAATGTGCCAAGTTAAAAATGCAGTCCCTTGGCAGGATCACAGTATTTCCTTACTAACTGAAGAGTACTGTGTCATGCTGTTTTAATTGGAAGGAGGTGTATCATTTGAATAACTTACTGTGATGACTGCTGCAGCCACAAAGACGGACTCCCCATCCATCTGGACTTCATCTCCAGAGTTCAGTTTCTCTTTCAGTTCCTTACAGGTCTTGGCATTGGCTGAGCGCCTGAAAATGCCCCTTGTGGAGGGACCTTCATGGTAGAGGAGAAGCAGCATATCCTAGAGAAAGCCCAGCACCAAGATATGTTAACCCATATTTTAGGTATATCACATGCCAGATCTCCTGTGCTAATTGGGGTACAGTCTAGTCAGCACTGAGATGGGAGATTACTAGGGTGATGCAGGGAGATTATGTAGGGGGTGCCTTTTTTCTGGATTCAGAGTTAGTACTGAAGCACAGGAAATCATTCTCCCACCCACCACATATAAGCTTTGGTTACAGATGCCTGAGAAATGACTAGCAGGGAGAGAGGTAGATAGATGCTTGTTATGGGACCCCTGGCATAAATCCCCCCTTACCATAATTGGCTTGGGAAGGAGTCCATCAGGGCAGACGGAGGACAGAGATAGGCCAAAAAGTTTCCGTGGTGTCGTTGGGGAGTGTGATGGTGGACTGCCTGTGGGAGTGCTTGTGCTCCGACGCAGGGCCCAATCAATCAAGGATTTCTTCCTCTTGGTATGTTTCTGCAATGATTCTGAAACAGCAAAAAGACACTGTTTGTTCCTGTGTCTCCCCTTACTATTGTGCTATAAGTGGGTCACAGATGGTTGGACAGTAATTCCCAATACTTTAATAAGTTGTTTCCATTTCTCAGTGAATCTATTATCTGGGAATCTTTTTTTTTTCATTATGTGATCTGTTCTAAAGATGGTCAAATAATACTCAGAGAAAATTCTGGTCTATTGGCACATATACAATTCACAGGCAATGTCTATATTGTTAGAATTGCATGATCAGATCAAGACATTAGTAACACTTAATCCAATTAGTAAGAAAATACCTAGGAGACTGCATTCCTCTTGCTTTCTGAAATGAAACAGCCAAGGGTTAAATACAGCCTCATTGGTGTATCTGTTTTTGGAGCACAGTTATTATCCAGGGTGAATGTAACTCATTGCTCAGTGCTACTCATCCACTTAAGAGATGTTACTGAGAGCCAGCCTAAGACTCAAGAATGCTGTCCTGCCACCATTGAAATCAACAGATAGTCAGTGGGAGCAATGAAGCAATTGACTTCAGATATATTCAAGTTCAGAGTCTTTTGAAATAAAAACATGATCTAACAGGATATCAGCAGCTTCCACAGGGAGATTTCCAAAGTTATTTGAAGGGCCACAACTCATCATCCCTGATCTCACCTCTCCTTAGCTGCATTGGGGCTTGGGGCTTGGGTTTCAGGATGAATTGGCACTGTCTGTCCTTGGGGAGCTGGTCCAGGAGGGAAGCCTCTGTGCCATCAGCTAGGAGTGTGTTGTTGTTGGTACCTTGATGCTGGTCAACAGTGTCTTGGAGGGAGCTCAAGACAATGCTAAAAGGATGCTCATGGCCTGTTGAGATAAGAGGTATGTGAAGTCCAAGTGAGAAGCCAAACTCACAAATGTCACTATGTGAAAGCAATTGAAAGTCTTGGTTTGGGATGTAGTGGTCATATGCCCACATCACAGAGCCACCATCATAGCTAGAATGAACAGGATTCTCACTGGCAGTCTCAGTTCATGAAGACTGAACTACCGATTACTCCAGGATGCAGTTTCCTCTAGGCCAGGGGTAAGGTGCATCCCTGAAGCTTAGGGATAGGGATCACTCACTCTGTTGCTCACCAGCAACTCCACAATAACAAGGTTTCTGTGGCATCACAATGTAAGTTAAGTTCTCCCAGGCTTCAGTGGGAGAGAACTGACAGAGGAGCTCATCCCGCTGCAGCACCAATGAGACATACCTCTGAACAGCTTAGGGAAAAAAATGATCTCAGCTTCAACAACCAGGGGAACTTTCTTTTAAAATGTTGAAGTACACTTTGATGGACATCACTGGAAGCATCTTATTCAAACTTATTCATTGGGTATCACTTAAAAGGTAACATTTGATGGTTACACCTAAAAAGGATGTGGGCAAGATAACTAACCATCAGCTCTTAGCATGTTGGCCAAAACGCTGTATGTGACGGCTGAGCTTTAAAGTTCTGTCCACATAAACAATCAGCAGTTTACATGCTTCAGGAAAGCTTTGCTCTGGACACCGAGTAACACAATAATATAGGGTGGTTCCTTGTGCTCTGCCAGTGGCTATATGAAGTTCCTGACTCTACTTACAAGACAGGACAAAGACAGGCTGATTTTCAAAATAGTTAATAATACCAGAAGGACAGTATTTCTTCTGATAGCTTGGTGATTCTGGTCTTTGCTAGGAATTGCAAAGACTCTAGAATATATTAAAATACAAGTTAAAAGACAAAAACAAAACAAAAAAACTCTCAAAGAAAATAAATCAAAGTTTTTTGAATTTCATAAAAAATGATGTTGGGGTTGACTCTGATCCAAACAGCCTGTCGCTAACATTGATTCCATCATGGCGTCAACCATAATAATAGAATTTGTTATGAATTACTATGGGAAAGATTGGAGAGACATGTTTCATATGCTTTGCCAAAATAAATACCCTGTCTAATTTTAATTGTACATTTAATCTTACTTTGCTGTCTTGTTTTTGCCAGTGATGCAAAACAAAAAAAAAAATAATTTTTTTTTTGTTGTAAACTCCAGCTTTGGTGTTTTCTCTGATTAATGTTTGGAATTTAGGAGATTAGACACTGGATTTTATTTGAATAAGTTTGTTGTAAGTCTGAGATCAGCTTATAGACCTATCATCTCTTCTGGTTCTGGCTCTGAGTCCCCTATATACACAATCATTTTCCTTCTAACATCCCAGAGTTTTTGTAATCTAAACAGAAATGGTTAAAAAAGGAACTTTTCAAATAAACAGCTCGCAAAGGACATTGCCCCAAATGCCCTGCGTCTCCATGTGAGATCAGTTCCAGATTAAAGTGGGTATTGAGACTAAAGCAACACAAAAAACCTTGTGAAATGAACCGTGTACTTAATGGGACTTGATGTCTCACATGGAAAACAATTTCCTTAAATGTGAGCTGGAATGCTTTGAAAAATAAATAAATACCAACAAAGAAGATAAATATTTTGGGCTCTTAATTACATGCTTAAAAGATACCTATACATGCATCTTAAGACACTTCTTCCCTTTATTTACTTGTGTGCCAAGACCTGCCTTAAGGTTTCCCTTTCCCCTGCAAGACTAGAAACCACTGTGACCACCAAAAGCAGCATTCTGAATATAATTCCTTGTTATGCTTTAGGTTTAGGTCCTGGTCTTCTGCCACTGAAGTCAATCAGAGCTGAAACCCTTTTGAATCTTTTAGGAGATGGTCATTCTTGATTGACTTCATTAATGAATTACAGTACAATCTGGTAAACCATTTGTGTGTGAAACCTGAGGCTATCAGGCCAGTTATCTTTCATCATGAATATCTGCTGCTTGCAGGCTTGATGCAGTTGATCATTTCACAGGCCAGCAAGCACTTAGAGGTAGAGCTTGCAGAGTAAGAGATGGTTCCCTTGTCCAGACACCAGCATTGTTATTGTTGATGTTATTGTTATTACTGTGGATCTTACATGCCAGCATATCTGAAGAAGGAAATGGAAGAGCTCTTACCAATTAAAGGGTAAGCAGGATCATCCTTTCCAGATATCACCCAGAGGTGGTAGTCACTCGGTCTACCCTGCAGGTTGGGGAACAGAAAGGAAAGAAATGTGAGAATGGGGGCAAGAGCTGGAAAGAAGGACCAGATAAACTGGACAGAGCCCACAAAACAATTGAAAGAGATAACAGCTGAACAGACCAAGAGGCAGGAAAAGCAATGGCCAGAAATCTCTGGGAAAGCAGAATGATTTGGAGTGACAGGGTCTCAGAAACAGTTTGTCTGACATGGGAGAGGAAGGGGAAAGGTTCAGAGGGGGACAGAAAGGGAATGGGAAATCCAAATTAAAAAAAAACAGATTAAGAAAGCAAACCCAAACTATGGTTTCCCCCAATGTCCACATTTAAGGCTCAGATTCAGGAAGTCTCTTGACATATTGATCAAACAAAGTCAGTCAAGTTCATTAGATTTCCCAGGAATGTCAGCATTTACTGGCTATGTATTGGAGGGTGCAAAACACAGGACTAGCTTCAAGTTCAAAAGGTTAAGAACATAGTTATTTCAATTCATACAGATACAAGTATTTCCTATCTCTTATTATCTTGCTAAAGAAACTAGAGCATACGTGCATAATATTTCATGCTTGTTCACTCTGCAAGTTGAAGAAAGGTATCAACTATTCATCTCTCCCTTGGAGCAAGGAGTATAATTAGCTCTATGTAAAGTTGGGCATGCATTAATGATAGAAGAAATAATTCTCATTAAGAATAAAGAACTAAGGCTTCCTATAGGTGCATAACTAATGTCTTGGTGTTACTATTGGGCTATTGCCATGACCTTCTTTCTTAAATATTGGAGCTGATGGATGATTATTGTTATCAAAGATTTGTCCAAGAATAATTTGATTAGCAATGATTTATTCAGTAATTATGTGTCTAGGATAAAAGTTCTTTGGAAAGTCTAGTACATGATCAACCCTGGTATAAGTGCCTTGAAATCAGTAAAGTTGCATTTACTTACATAAGACTTGTATTTGGTTCATCAGATGTGCATTTATAAATCTTTATATATGCAGAGATGTATGGGCCCATCCTGTAGCATGGAGAATACTAGTGTTCTAATGATTAAACAAGTCTCCTTCAATTTTTACTAGACTCCATCACATCTGCATTGTACTATAAAACAGACGTCCTCAACTTCCCAAGCTAAGATCTGGCAGCATATACAATGGACACTTACAGGAAGTCCAAGCTGATGAACTGTCTTCTTGATCACATTGTCTGCTATTTCTGTATTAGACACATTGACTGTAGCAGTCTAGGAAAGGAAGATACACAGAAAAATGTATAAAGCTAAAGGAAGAGGTAAGATCTAGTCACATTGTCACCTGGATTTGAAAATTAAGGCAAAATATTCTGGCTAGGCAGGTTACTGTCTACCATTACTAAATATGAAATAATTTTAAGATGATAGAGATCACAGTTTTCCTACATTGGTGTTAGCTTGGGAACATTCTTGTCTTTTTATTAGCAATAGGATGTTTGAACAGACCTGAGACTATTGGAGAACCATTGGTAGGTAAGGTCGTATTGCAGTGGGACCACAATGCTCGCTTTCTTCTTCCGTTACCATTCCAATACTGAATGCAATGATTTCATACTATGGAAATCATAGGATCCTTGTGGTAGTTAATCATGATGCTGCCAGAGTTGAAAAGCAGCCCAATAGCTCCATGGCCACCGCAGGAGTGAAACACAATGCAGAATACTGCAAGGGGATATTGGAGTTGTTTTCTGTGGGAAGTGCATTGGAAGATGAAGGTGAACCAGGCTTGAAGCCCAGAACTTGCTAATAGGAAAATATTTTTAGAGATAAACTGAAGAATTGTGCCAGTGATCATGATCCTCTACTATGGCACTGCTAATAAAGAATTATAGGGCATTTGAATGCTTATAATCATTAAGCTAGAAGCCGCTGCTGGACATGAAGGGTAGCAGGAAGCAAATGCACTAAAATGTGTGTTCAAAAGTTATTTCCAGAACTATCCTTTGTGGTGGGGCTTGTTAACCCTCTGTAAACACTTCCTAATTACCTGCACTGAGACCTCTCTAAGAGGAGATCCCAAAGACTGTGCACTGTGAGGCCCTTTGCACCTTTCAAGATGCTTCAGAAAGGACTTCCCAGAAATGGCAGCAGGAGCAAAGATCCCCCACTGCCCTGACCTCTGTTGTGTTGGTCTGATTTTTAGTTTTACTCACAGAAGAACAGTTTTCAATATCCAGTACAAGGATTTGGAGACTCAGGGCTTTCAGATATTCATTCTGTTTTGTCTCATTGATTTGCCTAAACATCAGAGGAAAAAAAGAAAAAAAATATCAGGCAAACACACAATCCCTCCACGCTGGAAGTAACAGTTAACACAGAAAAAGGAGCAAGTGATATTAGACACTTTGGTAGATACTAATCTCACAGAGATTGTATTAGTCGTAGATAGGAAAGAACTCACAACGCACCAGGAAGTAACGGGGGAGACTGGTTGAACTAGCTAGAACAAATGCTGCTCTCAGCAGATGGAGCAGGGCTGAACACAATATTGGAGAGGGGATCCTAGGCTCTTGTTTGGAAAGGAGAAAGGAAGAGAGGGCCCTTTCACTGTGGTAAAACAAAAGTCTTACAAAAAAAGACCATTTTCCAAAGATGCCAGTTCCCATTTAGTGGAATTTGATTTTCTGAACTTTAAAAGCCTCCCTTCTTCCATCAAAGGATCCTAAAGCTTGATCTTCAAAGCAGTGGAAAGCAATTAGGCACCCACTATACCAAGGGTCAGTGAAAGCTGGGCATCCAACATCTACCGTCTCCCTCCAAATGTTTATATAGGACTGTAGAGTGATGGCAAAAGCAGAGAAGGAAGGACAGGCTACTTACCACAATAATGTCGTGAGCCACCGTTCTTTCACCTCGGATGAGCTGAGAATAAAAAGGGAAGCATAATATCAGCTAAGTGGTGAATGACTAATAACTTTTGGAGACTTTATCAGGCTTCACTTATATTTAGCTGTAAGTCTCAGTTCCTTCCTGTAAAACCCTGAAACAAAAGCGCAGTCTTTTCCTGGTTCTGTTCTAGTTTAACAAAAATAAGAAATAACAGTAATAATACTAATAAAACCCTAGCAGCAGACGAGCTGAGCTGGATTTCCTGGCTGGGCTGAGAAGTGTTCGGATAAGGAACATATCTTTCTGTGATGTTGGACTTAACACGTCACGTGGCTCTTTACTTTTTTGTAATGACCTTTAATTGATATTTTTTTCTAGTATCACTTCCCTTCCTCTCCTTGTAGTTCCTAGAAGCCTTCACTGGCAATATCCTTCCCACATGTTTTGTGATGCAGGGGAAGTGGCACGGTTGCTAGAGTTGAGATTAAAAAATGTCCACCCTTGCATCAGAAGCCTAAGTTGTCTAGTACTTGAGTCTATGGCACATGGCAAAGGGAAGCTAAAGGCAGCATCCCAGGTGCTCAGAAGGGATGGGGCAGCCAGTACAAGATGCATTTGAGAGTCCCAGTGCATTTTCCACCAAGATACCTGTCCACAACACAGACAATAGCTGCACTGACTGGCACCCCTTGGTGGCTGTCTCAACAGAGGAGCCAAAGATCGAACGATCTGTGGAGACACACAGTATCCTTTCTTGCTTAATTTTGCAGGATTGGGACATACCAGAGGATAACTATATGAAGGAAGATTGTATTGCAGCTGCCCACTCTGTACCTGGTGTAGGGATAAAGGATTTAGGCCTGGCACCTGCCAGTTTTCACCATTAGATTCACCTTTTCCTATGAAAAGTGCTAGGACTGCTATAACAACAGCTGCAGGGCTAACGCCTATAGGCAAAAAGGGTTTTCTTAGTGAATTGCCTGGAGTAATTTTCTCATTGAGGACCAGATCCTCAAGGGCAGTTCACAGGAACTCAGATACCTAAACAGCTTTGATGGTTTGTGCCTTGATGACTTGCTGATTGCCAGGGAGTCTGTAGCCAAACAGGGACTGGAACCCAAGTCTCACAAGCCCCAAGCTAGAGCCCTAACTATTGGATCATCTTTCTTTACATAGGCCCCTGCCACTAGGGCTACAGGAGAACTCCTATATTTATGGAACAGAGGTTTCTATTCCCTTTGCCATCATTTAGTTCTCAGTTTACATACAGCTTACTGACCGCTGCAAAACAGTGACTGTATTACTGCACTGTGATACCTGAAGGTGATGACACAGTTGGTGGTGGGCCAGCCAATGACAAAGGAATGCTCTGGACTCAGTTTCTTCTCTGTCACTTCACTGAGACAGGTGCCTGTCCACACTTCACTGAGACGCACTTGCTTCTTCAGCTTCAAGCTCGAGGAAGACCTGAAATCCAAACCACAGATTGCTTAGGCTAACAAGACAGCCTAGAGTCAGATGTAGACCATGCAAAGACTGCAAAACCATCCCTCATCACTTCTGTTAATGCCTCAGAACTGACTCCACTAGTATCCAAGTCCTGGGCCTCCCCTCTTTCAGCACTAGCACAATGTATACAGATGAATGGCAGACTGTTTACTATCCACAACATAGCGCTGGTTTACCCCATACGTTTTTGCCTATTAAGTTGGGGAGGTGGGGGGTGCTGAAGAGTAGGGCCAAAAAGGGAGTTAATTTTTTGATCTCTACACTCACTGTCTTCCCTCAACCATGGAAAGAATGCCATGGTATTTCTTCAAGCCTCATGAAGTAAAAGCTAGGCCACTTTGATAAGATCACCCTACTGTGTGGAAATGTAGACAGTGATAAATTAAAGCAAGACCTGCCAAAAATAATGTAGAATATATTTTGGGGTGAGGAGGAGGGGGAAGGTGGCAAAGTTATATGTAATGTTGTCTTTGAAAACTATGATTCTCTTAGTGCCCGGACCCACAACTGCATTCAGTCCTGGCTTAGACTTCACTGGGTGTGCAGACATGACCCTTCTGAAGCTTGTTGGCATCCTCTTACTTTGATTTGGCGATGATCAGCATGTCATTGAAGAGGAATAAGTGTCTCTCCTGAGTCTGCAGTCCCACAGTTAGCTGTACACGCTCATCCAGGATGAAAACAGAATTTGGGCTACTGAAAGCCCCGGTTGGCAGCCCATTATCTGGATGGGATGAGGAAACTGTAATTTCCCTGGGGAAAAAATATCACATTGTGCAGTTATTTCCTTTCCTGTAAGACTTCATTGATAACATAATACATAGGAGGCCTAATTTGCTTAATTTCTTCTTGTATGTTAGTTGAACCCAGCAAACAACCATTGAGATTAAAGCAGAGTCCTTATGAAAATGCACAAAATGCCATTTTCTTTCCTTCCCCAACCTCAGTATATATAGATATATTCTGGATATAGATCTCTAAAGGTTATATAGATCTATACCTATACACACAGATATAGAGATGTCATAGATATAGCTATATAAAG